AGAATTCCCCAGCCAGCATGCTGGCTGGGGAATTCTGGGAGTTGAAGTCCACACATCTTAATATCGCCAAGGTTAAGAAACACTGTTCTATGTAACGCCCCCTTTAAAGGCTTGCAGAGTGCGCTTGCCTCCTCCCCAGAGGGGGTGCAGACAATTCATGCATAAATCTGGACGCTAGCTGGCCACAAAGAGAGGCAGAAAACCTATTTGCTGCCATCTGGTGGTGGTTTGGAATTTTGCAGTCTCCTAAACATTCCTATAGTGTTGTTCCTTCCATTATGGTTAACGCGATCATGCGTGGGCCACAAGACTGGGCCCAGCCACCCCTTTCCTTAAACAGACTCCCATCCTTTGGCCTAATTTTGGCTAAACGTACATCTCCCTCTTCCCACTTCACTTCTTCCCCCTTTTATCTTTTGCCACACCCACTTCTCCAACCAGCTTGCAGGAAGAATTGGCTTGTGGATGATGATGTTTTGGGCTGCGTTTCAAGTGCATGTGAATTGGAAATGCATGTGAAGAGGCAGTGCAGTCAGCCTACGTGTGTGACTTTGTTTGGGGTGTGCTAGTTCTCCTCTCTCTCTCGCCCCCCCACTTCAGAGTTTGGGTCCCTAGGCCTGGCCTTGCGAAGACCCTGGACATTTTTATTCCCAGGCCTGACAGATCATTCTGATTTCCTACATGCAAAATTTCACACCCGTGCTTCCAAAATCTGGAACCAAATGCAGCAAGGCTGATTTAAATACCTTGACATTTGTGTCTCATGTTTGCATTACTTACTCTGCTAATCCTGAGAAAACAACCCCCTGTCTGAAATTATTGTTATAACTGAATGCCTTATTCAGTATTGGGGCACTGGGTACACAGATTCAAGCTACAGTTTCCTGCACCAGCCTGTTCAAGTCAAATTATATGTTGATGTTTTGAAGGCCAGAGCAGAAGAGAAGCATGGTAAATATTGCCTGGTGTGGGCAGTTAATAATGCCCACACCAGGGAATATGTTTGCATGTGCACGTCTCCCTGTGTTTGCAGCTAGCGTGAATGAATTTGCCATGTCAATCAAGCAAGTCAGGGCTTGTTCTTCTTCATTCTGAAGTAGCCCTGTGTCCACTGGAGATCCTCGTATTGTTTCTATGTCCCTCCAGAGAGAGAACTAAACAGCAGGATCAGAAAGTCCTTTGCAAATGATAAATGGCATGATTTCACCGCAGACATTAAAAAGGCTTGCAGTATGCAAAGTATCTTTGCCATCAATTGCATCCGTGGAAAGGAAGCCTGGGGAAGCCTGTGGCAGTGGAACTCTAGCAACATTATTTTCTTCCACGGCAGCTGAGTTCTAGCGACATCTTTCCGTTTCAAAGCATGTTTTCTTCTCTGGGTTTTCCGCTCATGCTTATGCATGCTTACCTTTTCCACCAACGTGATCATTTCCCATCTCTTGTTTGTCCTTTCTCATCCTCCCTCCCTCCCTCCCTCCC